CTACTAGCGTGGCACTTGTTACTAGTAGCAAACATTGTTACTACTAGAGGCCGTGATATGATCATGTGATGAGCCTCTTTCCGACATGTCGTGGCGCAACATCGCCCCCCCGAAAGCAGCTTCCCATTGCACAGCAGTCATGTTTTACTTCTGCGATCATTTGATAAAGAGCCCGCTGGCCTGGCCATGCATGTAAGGCACATCAAACCTTGAGACACCAAGCTTTGGTGTTTGGAATTTGAGGGACAGGCATGAGGGTATGACAGAAACAGGAACCTCAAAGAGAGATTTAAGTGTAGCGGCTATATAGCGATGTGTGGCAGGGGAAGTGCCAAAGAAATTTGGCCCAGCCAACTCTTTGGTCATGTGCGACACGTGCTCCATGTGCTCAGGTGATTACCTGAATGTCCAAGTGCACGTGTGCATTGGTGGCAAGCGCGTCTCAGATGACATCCACACCTTTGAAGCAGGTGTGCAGATCGTTTCTGGAACTCCTGGCCGAGTCTTCCACATGATTCAGCGGCTTGGCAGGGCATGGAGATTCTCACAGACTTGTCTCCATGGAGTTGGCCTGGTTGGACCTGTCATGGATTTCCATGTATTCCCACCTGGTGAGAAGATGGCAGTTGCCATTCCACTGTCGAGTCATACTGCTATGCAAAGCTACAAACATCCTGGTCCGGGGAATTCAGAAATCAAAGTTTGGTTGAAGCTAGGGTTTGAGGAACACCCGCATGGAGTATGGCCTATGCTAGTTCATCGGAGTTCACCTGCAGCGGCTCTTTATTTTACTTTTTGCTTCTTGTTTGCATCCAGGCAGCGGCATTTCAGCACGCGCCATATCAAGATGCTAGTGCTGGACGAAGCAGATGAAATGCTCAATAGGCGCGTTTTGGCGGGGACGGTGCGAGCTTAACATTTTATCTCGTTCCAATTCCAGGCCATTGATTTGTGTTTAGATAGGCAAGACTCTTCTTTGTGGGCTGATGTGTGCAAATGTAGTCTCTTCAAACTTTGGGTCTGATTCATTCTCCCTGATGGCTTTTGAAATTCAAGCAAAGCTTTAAAGAAACATACAAATTCATACAAATTCAACAAAATGCCAAAAACAAACACATAGCCAATCACATACTGTGTAGGCTTCTGAAGTGATGGAGTCAGGGGTGGTTTGATTCGCAATTTTTGATAGTGGCAATTGACATGTTGCAGTCGGAGTTGTTTGTGTCTCTTGCTAGAAGAAACCATGCGCTGAATTATTTTTAACACCAATATGATAGACCCGAGATGATAGACGCTGCCGTGAACATATGTGAACATGCATGTTTGTTCAGACAATTTTGTAACAATATAGTGTAACGTGCGTGCCAACAATCTAGCCCCATGCTGCGCAGGGGATTTAAGGAGCAGGTCTACGACATCTACCGATACCTGCCACCATCCACTCAGGCCTGGATTGGCTTTGCCTTTGGGCATGTTCCAGAAAATTAGCCCTGCGACAATGTGAGCAGTCAGACATTCCATGGCTATCTCATTGTGTTTTTGCTTCAGATTCCAAGCGAGGCACAGGACAACTGGTGAGTTTGTTGGTTAGCAAAATTAAAAAAATAACACACACTAGGTAAAGCAAACCACGTTGAATTTGGCTTTTGCTGCTTCAGGTTGTGCTTGTATCTGCAACCATGCCGTCCCTCGGTCTTTTTTGGCGACCAGGTTCTTCAGAGAACGCTGCTAAGGAGTTTAGTCTAAAAGAAAGACCATATAATACCTATAGTAGTTTAAGCTAAGCTCGGGCTCCGGAACCACAGACCACTCTATAGACAATAGTGACCATAAGGATCCATAAGTTGGTTTTATGTAATTTGTTTTATTTCCACTTGATTCGGTCAGGTGAAGACTAATGTAGCGAGCTGCAAGTTCGTTGTGTGTCGTTTACCTTTGCCTTGCACGCCAAGGCATGAGGTTTTGGAGATGACGCACAAGTTCATGCTTCCTGGCAGATTGCGTTTGGCGTTTAACTCAAGTAGGAACGTAGGGCCTTAGGGGCTCCATGAGGCTCGTCCCAGAGCTTTGCACGTCAGACCTTGAAGCCACTAGAGGTATGGATGCCACAGTAAATCAGGGACATTTACCATCAACATGAATCACTCCATTGAGACTTGCGGTTACTCAAAAGGAGCATGGTGTTGGCAATGTCCTAATCCCAGATTTGTTGACATTTACACTCAGGTGAAAGAAAAGGCTCCCCGGTTCGTGGTGGTGGCAGAATCTGGAGCCCCTCCAACGAATCCATGTACAATATAGAACGATGGCCCTGGTACCTCAAAACCACAATCCGCCCAGCGCCTTGTACCTCAAAACCAGGCCGGTGCGCTGTTGACAACCCGAAAGGATATACTCATCCGCCCCCTGAGGAATAACCCTTTCCGCG